CCCCCCCACAAAGATGTCCAGCAGACATAAGTTATACATGTATATCTGCCAACACGGTTACTCATGTGCTGGACACAGTAATGGGCAGCAAAAGATCAAAGATTCTGAAACCCTACAGACCTGACAGGCCCAGAGTGGACATTTTTCAAAAATAAGAGTCGGCTTAATACCAGATCATGGTCCTTGAAATTACTGTTAAATCGTTTTGGTTACCTCGTTTGCACGTTCTCAACAGCGGTGGCGCGAAAGTGCTACACGGATGCCGAGTGTTCTGCACGCACACGGACACCGAGAGCGACGACCAGGATTCGGTTCTTCCGAGCCGCACGTGACCCCGACGCCCCCCCCCCACGCCAGGTCTTACCGTTGGACTGCTCGTCCCCGTAGCGCTTGTGCGAGGGTGCGTACAGGAACATGATGGTGAAGACGTACAGGTTCCACATCCCGTAGATGCCCGTGAAGAAGGCGCTGTTCACCTGCACCGTGTAGTCGCCCCAGTGCCAGTGGCCCTCGTTCACCTGCGGGAGACGGTTCAGACCCGTCAGGCCCCTCTCGTCCTTCACCGCGCCCAGACTTCGATTGCCAGGACGCTTGCGACGCCGGGACAGGACGGCGCAGCTCCGATCCCAGGCGCCGCTGCTCAGCGCTGAGCTTGCAGGCCTGCAGGGCCTCGCGGTCGCACGCAGAGAGACGCTCACGCCCCCTGCCCCCGCCGGCCCTCTGCCCCGCTGGGCACAGACAGGGCGATCCAAAACCTTTGCACGGGACGTCTGGGACAAGACCGACCCACTCACAGGGATCTCCAGATCCGAATCCCCAAGACGTTGCGTTCCGGCGGGAATTCTACAGACAACGGCGTGGGGCAGTCATAGCCGCGAGTCCAAGGAGACGCGGAGCAGCTGCGTGCGTCAGGGAGGAAGAGGGGGCTGGAGAAACGTCACTTCGCAAGAAGAGCAGTGAAATTGGGGGGGACTCTCCAACTGTGCACACATCAAGAGTGTGCAAGAGGAGGAAGTGGCTGTAGAAACCGTCTTGGATTTCAAGAAAAGCGACTGCTAAAAGCATATAGACAGTAGTCCTTTCTTGAAGGTCACACATTCCCACTTCACTCCCCCCAAACAGGTGTTAGAACCTACACCGATACACAGGTCACGCGTTAAGAAATGTGAAAGAATGTTTTTCCCCCCCATTCAAAGGGCTTCAGGCACAGACAGGCCTGCCCCTTCCTTACCTGGCTGATGATGAAGAAGATGACCGTCATGGCAGCACAGGCGAGAGTGACCAACATCAGGAACTTGAATCGGAAGATCAGACCCTAGGAAGAAAAAAAAAAAAATCTGAATAAAAATAAAACATGCAGATTAGAATCTATTACAGAAATGGAGCAAGCATCCCGATTAAAGCTCAAACAGCTGCTGTGTAGTGGCGACAAGTGTTAACAACGCTGCTGCACACTAGAAGGTATGAAACGGAATCTACGTGGACCGTCATGTAAAGCCTCAATGAACTAAGTGCCATCAGTGCTTTGTCTTAAGTTGTCTTTAAGAAAAGTGCAAGTCAAGAGGTTTATTTGGAAAAAGTGGGGCACAGCCATACAGAGAGGGAGTGTGAATCTTTTAAAATTCAGTGCAAGAAGTAAGAGCGACAGCAGAAGTGTGAGTCTCTGGAGACCTGCAGCATCCTCTGGATTTCCTAACCAAGCGTTAAGCCTGCTTTGCAGTACTGTATGTTTTTTTTTTTTAACCTGAAGTAGTAATTATAAATCGCAGATCTCTCTCAAATCCACCACTGGCAAGCGTTCAACCGAGCAAGAATATCAATTCAACCTGCCACCCCAGAACTCCCTTCCGTTAACCCTCCGCCTGCCTTCCACAGCAGGAGAGCGACCCCTGACCTCATAGTGCAGGCGCCGAGCCTTGGACATGGCCGGGAGAGAGGACTGCTTCCCGCTGATGTTCCTGAACACCTGGAACACCATGAAGCACAGGAACAGGAAGTACAGGCAAGCGCAGATGCCCGCCACGATGATGAACGCCATCTTTGGCTCGCGTCAAGGAAAACTCTTCGGGGAGGAAGGCGGTCAAGATCTCCACATGGAAATGGCACACACACACGGACGTCACTGTGCTGAATTTACAATTGCCAACCACTGTCGCAACACCTATCCGACTGGGAGTAGCCAATTGCGTTTCTCACCTCTCGGCTCGCTGATAAAAACCTCCCAACCTCACACAGGTGAGAGCAAGTACTCCTCTGCTCCACCCCCAGTCAGGTCCGTTACTTTTTTGACTGGTCACAGGCACCACCGCCCCCTAGTGGAGGCACAGCACCAATTAGAGGTGGGGCGCGTCCCTCTCCGACAACACCACAAGCCTGCAAGCACTCAGAAGGCCACAGGGGGCGCTGTGTCCGAGAACCCTAGACCTCCCACCCAAGTGCACTCTGGCAGAACCCGGCTAATTCCACATCACTGCCTGGTCGCTAGATCCTCGTTACAGGACTCGCCTGCGATCCGATGTGGCAAAGCTCAGACATCAAAACACTAATGAAATTAGTGAGGACATCAATGTATGGATCTGTATTCCTTAGCCTTGTGGAAAAGGCTCACAAGGCCTCTAACTGGAGAGATCGAAACAAAAGGAGCTGAAACCACGCCTTCTATTGCAGAGGCAGAGGGATTCCACAACAGAAGAGACCCTTGGACAGAGGAGCCATAAGGTGGAACTAATCACATTGGCTCACCTCAGCCTAGTAACACAAATTAATAGCAGCCAAGAGCCTCTCTCCGACAAGCGAGAGAGGGGAGTGTTAGGACAGCTATTCAGAGCCGAGATACGCATCCCTTTTGAAACTTGTCTTTGGGGTGCGAGAGTGCTAATTAAACTTGCACTGAATTTCCCTGCCAGTTTCCAGAGGGGATTTGCCAGACAATCATCAGACTCCACTCACCATGAAACATTACCTAGACTAATAAAACAATAACAGAGGGTGGGGGGGGTCTGATGGAGAGCTGAATAAATATCCCCAGCAGGGCCTTGCGCTGGCATCCTCAGGTTATCACAGACCAGGGGAAACCCCACTGGAAAGACCCTCTCGACATCCCTCAACAGCGCCCCCACAAGGGACCGCAGGGGCGCCGGCACACTAAGCTGGGTGAATAAGCCCCCCACCACAATGTTCCAGGCCAGTTCCCAGGGACCCAATGGGAAAAGGCTGGTACTAGGGTACAGATCTGAATGTCTGAAACACTTTTTTTTAGCAGCTGTAACAAATCAACTCCCAGTAAAACCCTTTAAAATTCTGCTTTTTACCACAGCTGTGATAACACTTTTGTGAAAGCATACAAACATTTGAACAAAATCGACAAAACCACTACCCTTCTACAATCCACAACCGATGTCAGAGCTAAGGTGCAATTAAGAAATTCCTTTAATGCCTAATGACAAGTTAGGAATCCAGTGCCCATCTTCGTTCTCCCTGGCACAGCACTCAAGGATACAGCCAGCTCCGTTCCCACATCCGAAGCCCAAATGCTATAAAATGGGTTCTTCAGTTGGACCCCTCTGTAAGAAAAGATATTCAGGATGAAAACCCCGAGCTCAAAACTGCAGAAAGATCCCTGATAAATGCAGCCATCATATCAATAAAAGAATATTTTGGTCTGCACTTACACACGTTAGCTAAACTGAACTAATTCAGCTAGGAAGACAAGGGAGCTGGGATACTTAGGCTTTAATTGGTTCCTAATTAAAAAGGACTTGCACAGGACTCCTCAGTGTGTCCATTTCTGTAGACTGGGAAACCGTACACATCTGCCCATCTCTGACGGAAGCAGACCATTGTCTCCAATCTGCGCAAATTGATTTTTCCAGACACCCAAGAACAAAAATGTCTCGGAGCACTTAACCTGCATTCCAGTTGCTCACCGCGCCGCCCATGTCGGTCTGCTACACGACAAGAAACCACAGAGCGATTGGGGTTTTTGGGGTGCAGACACCTGTAGGTTGGGCTCTTTCACCCAAGCAGCCCGACTCAGTAACGCCAAGGGGAAGGAAGTGTGCAGATGATGCACAAGGCCACCGGGACTGAAGAGGCGAGCAGACAGGCAGGCAGTTTGCCAGGAACAACCCTACAGCCATCTTCACAGCCACAAGCTTCATTTCAATTGCTCAAGCACTTCCTGGCTGTTCTTCTCCAGACACGGTGACATCGCCCCCTTCAAAGGAACATTTCCCCCATTTATTGGTCCCGCAGTCCCTCCCCCGAGCTCCAGCTGTGCGTTACGGCTCAGGAATTCCTCCCCCCTGCGTCTGGGTGCAGCTTCCCCCGGCCCGCCCATCGCAGGGCCCGTCTCGGAGCGGGGTCCCGCCCGCCCGGCCCGGGGAGAAGCAGCGCAGACGCCGGCTCTAACTTTCTGAAGAAAGCCAGTGCTGACTTGCCTTTGCCGATTGCTGGTTTTAAGCACGAGTCACCTGTTCCAAAAGGATGGGGGTGGTGAGGGGGGGGGTTCTGTCAGCCTCACAAGGAACTGGAAGCAGATTCCACTCTGAAGAGCAGGAAGAAAGCAGTGACGCTCAGCCACAACACTGCGTCCGTCTGCCCTCTCACAGCGGAATGAACCCCTGCCTGCTCCTTTACAATCTTCAAACACCTGGTCGCACACAACACTGACAATGTCGGCTATAAATATAACTCTACATAAAGCTAAATCATTCAAAGCCCATTAAAAGAACTGTAAATTTAACTGTCCATTCCTTCCAATGAGTTTCCTGCGCCAATTAATCTTTAGGTGCCGAGGCACGCATATACAGGTCTGAAGGGGTTGGAACGTTTTAGAAGTTCAGTTTCTTGATGCAGATTTAAAAATCTGATTGGGGGGAAAAAAAAAGATTGTGGATCAATCAAAACAGATGAGGTGAAAGATCAACTATTCAGTGAGCACTTGCAAGTTCCGCAGCTTTCTACTGTCGCCCTGAAATAAAACATTTCCTATTTAAAATATAAACTTCACAGAAAAATCTTAATGCTTCCCAATTTGATCAAGAAATGGGAGGAACTTGAGAAAGTAAAACACCAAAGACCTCAAGTCCAGAGCTTTCAGCAGAGGCAAACTCATGCAAGTGGCTTGCGCCTGCTACCAAGATCCAGCATTTATTCTGGAGTAACGTTGTCGAGATGAAACTCGAGGCGTACCTCTCACACATGTCAAAAATGAAGAGGCAGAAGGAGCCAAACACAATCGGGACAACTTGCTTCCAATAAACTGAAAAACGATTCCTTTCCGTCTGGTCCTGTGGAGTAAAAAGAACAGCAGTTTAACAGCACAAGTGTCAGCGACGCTCATTTTTCGGCGCATTTACACAGCAAAAATTATGCTGCTAAATTCTTGCTCACGTAAAGGTGCTCAAGATAAATTCCAGTGCGTCTGGAAGAGAATTCCCAGTGGGGATATTTCACGTTGCCACCCGGACTCATTCCGGCCCCGAATCGAAAGACGGAAACAACAAAAGTTTAAACTCCAAGCCGTGTTAAAGGTAACTTCATTGCCAATAAATATTCAATCTTAAAATATGGCTTTACGATGGCATTTGATATGTTCATGTACAAAACGCGAGGTTGGTCAGGTCTCTCAATAACCAAACGCTCCGATCTGAGGAAGACGCTCCAGATGCTGACGCGGCCATGCAGCGGTCTGTAACTGCACAGCACGTCAGCTCTGGAGCGCAAGGGCAGGCGCGCCTCGGGTGGGAAGCGCAAAAGGACAGACCACTCTGCCGGCTAGCCACTCCCAACGCGCGAGTCCGGCAGGAAAAGAGCCGATACGAACCATCAGGTGCTCCCCGCAGAAGATGATCCAGAACGACAAGAGCATGGCGTAGAAAACCCCCTGCCGGATATCTCCGAAGAGCAGCATCCACGTCCAGTTAAAGCCAACCGAAAACCACTCCACGGGGATGTTGATGAAGGTCATGGAGATACCGAGGGCGAAGAT